CGTAGGCCAGGGCCTCCTTCCGGCTGAGCACCATCATCTCATGCAGCTTTTGCCTGAACTTCTGAGCCTCACCCTCTTCGTTGGCAAAGCTCCGAACTGTAGGCATGGCTGACAGCACCTCGATGGCCACCTGGCTGGACTTTGCCAGAGATTCTTGCATCTGCTCTGCCATCACCTGTGGAGATATGAACCAGAGATACCATACGTGGTTGGCAAACCACGAGGGCTGCTAGGACCTGAATTATCCAATCAGAGATTACAGCTGAGAGGGAGCAGAGGGACGAGAGAGAAAAAGACACAGCTTGAAACACTCACCACCACCCCCCATACCAAAGAGAAACAGTAGAGAGGGAAATGCTCCAGAAGGGCCATGGGGGTCATATTCCTGAGATCGGTGCCATATTCTTTTATTTTCTTTTCTATCAGAGTACAGTTTATTTGGGGGCTTCTGTGGTGGCTCAGTGGTAGAGAATCTACCTGCCAACTCAAGAGATATGAGTTTGATCCCCGGGTCGGGAAAATCCTCTGGAGAAGGAAATGGCAACCCACTTCAGTATTCTGCCTGGGAAAACTCATGGACAGAGGAGCCTGGTGGGCTACAGTGCAGGGCGGGGGTTGCAAAGAGTTGGACATGACTTAGCAACTAAACATGGAGAAGGAAATGGCAACCCACTCCAGTACTCTTGCCTGGAAAATCCTGTGGATGGAGGAGGTAGGCTACAGTCCATGGGGTTGCAAAGAGTTGGACATGACTGAGTGACTTCACTTTCTTTCTTTCTAGCAACTAAACAACAATATAGCTGATTTACAATACTGTATTAGCTTCAGTAGTACAGCAAAGTGTATGTATATGTATACATACATATATATATATATATATATATATATATATATATGACTTCCCATGTGGCTCAGTGATAAAGAATCCGCCTGCCTGGAGCCCATTATAGAGAGCGAAGTAAGCCAGAAAGATAAAGACCATTACAATATACTAACACATATATATGGAATTTAGAAAGATGGCAACGATAACCCTATATGCAAAACAGAAAAAGAGACTCAGATGTATAGAACAGACTTGTGGACTCTGGGAGAAGGCGAGGGTGGGAATGTTTCAAGAGAACAGCATCGAAACATGTATACTATCTAGGGTGAAACAGATCACCAGCCCAGGTTGGGTGCATGAGACAAGAGCTCGGGCCTGGTGCACTGGAAAGACCCAGAGGGATCGGGTGGAGAGGGAGATGGGAGGGGGGACCGGGATGGGGAATACATGTAAATCCATGGCTAATTCATTTCAATGTATGACAAAAAACACTGCAATGATGTAAAGTAATTAGCCTCCAACTAATAAAAATAAATGGAGGAAAAAAATTAAAAAATTTAAAAAAAAAAGAATCTGCCTGCCAATGCAAGAGATCTGGGTTCCATCCCTGGGTTGGGAAGATCCCCTGGAGAAGGAAATGGCAACCCAATATCTGTTCTTTTTCAGATTCTTTCCTATATATCATTACAGAGTATTTAGTAGAGTTCCCTGTGCTATCCAGTCGGTCGTTACTGATTATGTATTTTATTAATATATATATAGTAGTGTCTATATGTTAATCCTAACCTCAGTGATCGTATTCTTAAAGACAGGTTGTGGGCAGACGTTAGCAGACACAGAGAACATGAAAACTGACCCTGAGTAACCCAAGAACGTGGACAAACAGACCCACAGAGATGAAGAATCAGTGAAGGGACCAGGAAAGAAATGTGACAGGAAGCGAGCCCACCACGTCTGGGCGGTAGGAGTCAGCGGAGGTTGAGGCAACTCCCCAGACATACCTTGTGCCATTTCCCCAGCTTCTCAGGCAGAATGAAAAGCAGGGGCAGGGTGACCAGGGTGACCACAGTGAGGGGCGGGGACGCCCAGAGCATGAGCCCCAGGAGACACAGGCCCCGCATGAAGTACCACAGGAACAGGCTGAGATCCGAGCTCAGAGACTCACTCACGGTGGACGTGTCGTCTGTGACCCGAGATGTGATTTCACCTGTCAAGCGTTGGGGAGAAGAGGGTGGTGTGAATGAGAACCTCAGAGTGATGGGACAGGTGAGCCAGGGTGCCAGGGGAAGGGTTCTAAGAAGGCTGAGAAGACAAGGTCAGTGGTTAGGGAGACCTGGGACCTGGAACCTCAACACAAGGAGAAGTGTTCCAGAGGAAAAGACTGGCTAAAGACCTTCCAGTTTAAAAAAAAAAAAAAAAATGATGCCCTTGTGAATTTCCTTTTCTCTGACAGATTTCTGTTCTCTAAGAACTTTTATATCCCAGGTACAGGGGCAGAAAAAACTTAAGCTGATCATCTAACATAGCTGGAGAGAAAGCTGCTGTTAGACAGCAGTCCAGGAAACTGTAGCGAGCACTGGACTGGGAATCAAGAGATTCTGTCTCCGAGTTCATCTCCATCTGTGCGCATCTGTGCAAGGGTCAGTGTTTGGGGGCAGGCCTCAGTTCCCTTCTCTGCGAAGCAAGGTGGTTGGACTCTGTGATCTCAAAATGTCACGGTTTTAAATTCCAGTCATTTCTATCTAAACACACACAGAGGAATAAGTCTGTGAGGCTTGGATGGAAACACTAGGCTTTTCTTAAATAAAAGGAGTATGTTTTGCTCTTGAGGCATGTTGAGAATAAGACATGGCAATGTTTATGTGTGAGAGAAATCAAGATTATAAGTAAAAGAGGAGGTACGGGTTTCCCTGGTGGCTCGGATGGTAAAGAATCTCCCTGCAATGCAGGAGACCTGGGTATGATCTCTGGGTCGGGAAGATCCCCTGGAGAAGGGAATGGCTACCCACTCCAGTATTCTAGCCTAGAGAATTCCATGGACAGAGAGCCTGGTGGGCCACAGTCCATGAGGTCCCAGAGAGATGGACATGACTGACAGACTAATAATTTAATACTTTATGGGTATACAAACAGTAAGTGAATGGATAGTGAAAAGAGTTTCATGAGAAACCTGTTTGGTTCTTTTGAAAAAACTCTGTCTCCTGGCACAGGACAGCCTGAAACACCTCTCCCTGCAGGTGGCTGTGCATGCGGCCCACGGTGCTGTTGTAGATTCCATCAGCCGTGAACTCCAGCACTGCGCTACAGGGAGACAAGAAAAGGGAGGCCCGCTGTGGTCAGGAGGTCCCCCAGAAGTCCACCCTGGACGGCTGCCCCAACTTCCAACTCCCACTTTCTCCAAATCCCCTGTCCCCCAACCTTCCAACTTCAGTGCCCAGACCTGGCTATGGCAAGGACCGACATCAGAGTTACGTTCCGAGTGAAGGCAGTGCCTGTCTCATCCTGTACAATCCAGTCGGTGAGCCGGCCAGTGAAGAACGGAATGGCCATCTCCCCTGGGGAGGGGAAGAAATAGCAAATCTAAGCAGGTCAACTCTCACCAGACCCTAGCCCACTGGCCTTTCACATTTATTCATTCTCCTGCAAAGCAGTGGCAGAAAGATACCATCTCCACCTACACGGGGCCCCACCAGACCTTTAGAGGTTTAAAGAGGAAGCCTAGCGGTCATAGGATGGGCTGCCCAGGAAAAGCCCTTGTCCTTGGTGGCCAGTGAAACAACAACACGCAGGGAGGCCCTGGAGTCCAGGACCCCTGACAATTACCCAGTCAGGACCTTCCCGCTCCACTGGGGTGATCAGGACCTGAGCTGGCTCCCCTTCCCCTCACCCACATTCCCGAGAACCAATCCATCTCACTGGCCATGCCCCTCGATTCCTACCCAGTCCTCCAGTCCCATCCCCCTTCCCGTTGCACCCCCCTTACCCAAACAGGAGAGGAACACCAGGGCCAGAATGAGCTGCACGTGGCTTTTCTCCGGACCCAGGAAGACTAGAAGCCGACTCATCGCCAGGCCAAAAGCCCCTCGAGTTCCTTGCACCCAGAGACTCCTGATCTTATACCACAGGGTGGCCGCGGGCAGTGCCGCCCCATAGCTGAGAGCGAAGGCGTCCAGGCGACTTCCCCAGTGCAGGGGCCCGGCGCTGTCCGCGTCCCCGGGGGCTGGCCAGGAGACCAGCTCTCGGAACAAGGCGAGTCCCGGCAGGGCCAAGCCCAGCGCCGCCGCCAGCGGCTCTAAAACAGCCAGCCACCCCGGGACTCGCGTGCTTTCCCTCTGGAAGCCCAGCGCGGCCCCGACGACGCCGCGGGCCCCCAGCCACAGCAGCGCCCAGCGGCTCAGACCGGCCACCCAGACCCGGAGCAGCGGCAGCGCAGGGGGCACCAGCCGCGATGCCACTCGGGGCAGCGCCGGCCGGAGCAGCATCCAGTCGGCGAGGAGCAGCAGCGCAGTCCCCAGCCACGCGACGGCGGCGCGGGGGAGGCGCGGACGGCCGCCGGGAGCGGGGGACCCCGGGCAGGCCATGGGCGCTCGCGGTCCCGGCTCTCGCTGTCCCCGACGGGGTGCTGTCGGAGTCAGAGCCCCGGGCCGGAGCCGGGACCGCCGCGGGGAGGGGCCGGGGCGGGGCCTCGGAAAGTCCCGGGAGCCGGCCGAGCCCGCGGCGCTGACCAGAAGCAGGCGGTTTAGGGGAAAGAGAAAACGAAAGCGGCCCGGCTTGCCAGGCCCGGCCCCTGCGGAGGCGGCCGGCCCAGAGCACCCAGGAGGAGCGTGCTGACCTCAGATCCGAGGCTGACCTCCTCCATCGCCCACCCGCGCCCCGCCTCGCGTGCCGCCGCCTCCTGCAGTGGCCGCGCTGCCCGGGACTTCTAGCCCCGGGTCTGCGGGCGGGGCTCCTGCGTCATCTGTCTCCGGGCAGATCCGCTGGCCCCGGTCTCCTGCGTCATGTGTCTCCGGGCAGACCCTCCCCGCGCAGGTTAGCGCCGGGCCACCCCGCGCGGCGGCGCGGAGTCGGGCGCCCCCTGGCGGGCGCAGCGCAGGGGCGGAGCCTCGGGCAGCGTGCGGCGCGCGATCCCAGGTCGGAAACCAGAGCCCGGAGCGGCGAGCCTCGCGGAGCCGGGATGCTGCGGACCGGAGCCCCCACCGGGGATTTGCCCCGGGCAGGAGAAGTCCACACCGGGGTAATGAGTCTGGAGCGTCAGCGGAGGGACGGAGGGACGGGCGGACCCTGGAAGCGCCACAGGGTGAACTCGGAGACTCGCAAGAGGGAGGAGACCGCTTGCAGCAGCCAGGGCGCGCATCCGAAAAGGAACACTGGCGTCTCCGTACAGAAGCGGGGTGCTCGGGGGTCCGCCAAGGGACTGGGCGCGGGGGGCCGGCGGGGAAGGGGTGCTTGGGCTCCTAGCTGGAAGCGTTGAAGGGAAGCTGCTCTAGAGCGCTTTCGCTTTCACTCTGAACTAGAGACGGGCTGCTTAAATGAAGCGGGGGAGCTGGAGAAGTTGCGCAGAAATGAGGACACGGTGCCCCGAGTGGACAGGACGGCACTTGGGAGCGTGTGGGCGCTGACGGGAAGGAACGCGACCCACAGACCTTTGCTGGGCTCGCTCCGGGGAACTCACGGTCCCTCCACTGCCAGTGCCAACCTGGTCCAGGAAGGCAGCTACTTGGCCCGGGTGCAGCGTGCTCCCCTCCCCGTGTCTTCCGCACCCACCTCCACAACCTGCTGGAGGACTTTTGCCCAGGCTGGGCCCCCGGGGGCTGGTGGCAGCCCTTGGCTGGCTGGCTTCTGCTCTCAAGTGACCACCACTGCTCTCCGCTTCGGGCAGCCTGTAATAACGGAGTAACCTCTCGGGTGGGGTTTCCCCTGATCTCTGGTCCGCTCTTCACGATGAATCAATGTGTCAAAATGAGCACTGCGGCCAGTAGCCCCGGAGGCCAGAGAGACTTATGAAGCCCTGAGGAATATAGCAGTGAAACCATTCATAAAGTAGAAGCTCTTCCCCTCACCACCAGATGAACAGTGGAAAGTACGAAGTACAAGTCACAACAAACCCTGGGAGCTGGACGCGGGTTTAGTCCTGTGTGACCTTGGGCAAGTCACTTGCCTTCTGTATGATGCAGTTTCTTCCTTTGTAGGATCTTTAAAGTTAAAAACTGTGGCTTTGTTCTCCTTCACTCTTCCTTAATTCTGTTCTTGACTTGGAAAAGGCAGCTAAAACTCCCCAATCAAATCCTCTCTTGGTATCAAATCTCTTCCCCTGGCTATTTACTCTTTTAAAGAAAAAAAAATTATTTTTTAGCCATGCCACATGGCATGTGGAATCTTAGTTCCTTGACCAGGAATCAAACCCATGCCCCCCTGCAAAGGAAGCGCAGTCTTAACCTCTGGACCACCAGGGAAGTACCCTGACTGTTTACCTCTTGATCAGAAATCCTTAAATGAGACCTTTATTTTAAACTGTCCCATGTGTTTCTTGATAATTTCCTGCTTCCTTGACACGTGGCCATGGTAACCACTGACCTCTGAGATGTTTTCCCTTGTTCAGTAAACTGATTAAGGGGAGAGTGGGGTGGACGATTCTGGGCTAATAAAAAGGCTTGGGCTTGTTTCCCAAGGTCACGGTCACTTGCTCTGTGGCAAGATCTGCAGCGCATCTGTGCACACAACAAGCGCATGCAGAGGTCATTCATTTGTGGGGCTGCGTCACCAGGGCCTGGAAGTGCCCCCCTGAGCCCTTCACTCAGAGGGAGCACTTATGCCCCTGGGAGCTTCACCGCCCCCCCCCCGCCCCCCCGCCAGGGATGCCATTCTTTCTGTGTGATATCCCCGGCCAGACTCTGACATTCCCTTGCAGCCAGGAAAGACAATAGACAAAATGGAAACAAACAAACAAAAAATCCCATCCTGGGAGTCGACTCTGACCTAAATTACCAGATAACCTTGAGCCAGTCGCCTCCCCTCTCTGAGAATGTTTCCTTATCTAACGTGAAGGGGTCAAGGCTCTTCCCGCTCTGACGTTCTATCCTGTGTCTCCGCAGACAACCATCATGGCAGTAGAGTTTGATGGGGGCGTCGTGGTGGGATCGGATTCCCGGGTGTCTGCAGGGTGAGTGCCAGTGACCCTGGGTACTTCTGGAAGGAAGCTCATGGCGCCCAATGCACATTTTTAGTCATTCATAAAGACATGCATAAAGTCATTCATTTAAAGTCATACATAAAGGCAAACCGAAGCTCTGGAGAAACTGAGTGAACCTTTCAGAAAGGCCACTATAATAAGATACTGGGTGGGGGGGGTGGGAATTGGGTCTCTGAACTCCAGGGGAGAATCTGGGGCCTGAATGCTAACGTGGCCTGTCCCAGGGGGTCATCGAATTGGGTCTGAAAAGAGTTTAGGAAATAGTTTTCAGAGGCCTTCCTTCCATCTGGGTTTAAAGATAGAAAAGATGGTTCTGCTGAGCAGATATCCTGGTTTCTGATCCATTGTGTGAACTAAGTTTGTCTTTCTCCCTTTCGGCCAGTTTCCCCACATACAAGAAAAGTGTACAGGATTAGATCAACATCACTTACTTTATGTGCCATAGAACACATAACTTCCTCAAGATGGTTAATAACAGAAAAATTAGTAAGGGGAAGATTATTCTTAATTTAATGTAGTATTTTTGTTTTATCATAAAATCTATGTCTGATTTTGATCATTACTTGCAGTGTTTCATTTGTCTGAGACAATTTTTTCCTTCCTGCTTTAATCCAGGCATTAAATTTCATGTGCTCTGAAGCCATTCTATTGTCAAAAGAATATCAGAAATTTTAGCAACTCCCTGTAGGATCCTGCAATCCGATTCCTGGGCATCTATCCAGGCAAAACTGTAATTCAAAAAGATGCCTGCACCCTCCTGTTCGTAGCAGTGCACATGTTCTTTATCCATTGCTCTGTTGGTGGACATTTAGGCTGCTTCCATGTCCTGGCTATTGTAAATAGTGCTGCAGTGAACACTGGGGTGCATGTATCTTTTTGAATTATGGTTCTCTCCAGATGTATGCCCAGGAGTGGGATTTCTGGGTGATATGGTAGTTCTGTTTAGATTTTTAAGGAACCTCCATACTGTTCTCCATCATGACTGCACCAGTTTACCTTCGTACCAACAATAACAGGGTTCCCTTCTCTCCATAGCTTCACCAGCATTTATTGTTTGTAGATTTTTTTTATGATGGCCATTCTGACCAGTGTGAGGTGATACTTCATTGTAGGTTTTATTTTTATGAACAAAAACACAAACGGACTCACAGACATAGAGAACAGACCTGTGGTTGCAAAGATGGGGGAAAGGAGAAGGATTGGGAGTCTGGGATTAGCAGGTGCAAACTGCTATATACAGAATGGATAAAGCATTTCTCTAATAATTAGTGGCTGAGTATCTTTTCCTGTGCTCTTTGGCCATCTGAATGTCTTCTTTGGAGAAATGTCTATTTAGATCTTGTACACATTTTTTATTGGATTATTTGTTTTTTTATATTCAGCTGAATGAGCTGTTTGTATATTTTGGAAATTAATCCCTTGTTGGTTGCTTCATTTGCAAATATTCTCTCTCACTCTGAGGATTGTCTTTATACTAAATTTAAAAAAAGGAGTGGACATCTTTATATAATTCACTTTGCCATACACCTGAAAGTATCACAACAGTGTAAATCAACTATACTCCAATAAAAAATTTTAAAGATGTGATATATATGTATATTATGTGTGTGTATATATAGAGAGATATATCACAGTGGGCTATTACTCAGTCCTAAAAAAGAATGAAATCATGCCATTTGCAGCAATGTGGATGGACCTGGAGATGATCAAATTAGGCATAGTCAGAAATAGGAAGACAGATACCATATGATATCACTTATACGTGGAATCTAAAATACGACAAATGAACATAGCTGCAGGACAGAAACAGACTCACAGACAGAGAATGACCTGTGCTGGGCAAGGTGGGGGCGGGGAGAAGGACTGGGCGTCGGCGATCGGCAGATGCAGTTATACACAGATGGGATAAACAAGATCCTACCATATAGCACAGGGAACTCATTCAAACTCCTGTGATAAGCCATAATGGAAAAGAATATGGAAAAAAAAGTATATATGTATAACTGAATCACTTTGCTGTACAGTAGAAATTAACATTGCAAATCAGCTACACTTAAATTTTTTTTTTCTGAAAAATTGGCAACTCTGACGCTGATGACTTTGCACTCCTTGCTGACAGAGAGGCGGTGGTGAACCGAGTATTTGACAAGCTCTCCCCCCTGCACGAGCGCATCTACTGCGCTCTCTCTGGCTCAGCTGCTGACGCTCAGGCCATAGCGGACATGGCCGCCTACCAGCTGGAGCTCCACGGGTATGAAACAGTGGGGTCCCCAGTCCAGGTCACCTAGAGCTCCCCAACTCAGTGAACGCCAACACCGTGTCCTATTCCAGGGGCGCTACCGTGGAATAGGAAAACTTCTTGCTTTGCCTTCAGCTTTCATTTCTCTTTGAACTGGCACTTGAATCTCTCAAAGCTGGTTTCTGCATCTGTAAAGCAGAGATAACTAATAGCACCTCCCCTACCTCACCAGATAGTTATTTCCAAAACCAAAAAATATGATTAAAAGTGATTTGAACACTACAAATCACTCTCCTAATATCAATAGTGAGGAAGAAGATGAGGACACAGCCCACCATGGTATCAGGTGGTGACCATGTGGGAGCCAAGGTCACGGGGCGGAAGTGACGCTTATCTGCTAAACCCATATGGGCAAGGCTCTGGCAGCCAGGAGACTTTTGTCACTGGGGATCGGGGGACTGGGGGGGACAGAATAAAGGAGGGAGAACAATTAACAATTGAAAACTTCTTCCTAGTCGGTAATGTGAGACTCTGGTTCCCCTGCACCAGTGGGAGGGGAGCTGGAGTCTGAATCCTTGCAGCTAGTTTTTAGGGGTCACCTGGCAGAGATGAGGGTGATGGTCTAGGAGGGTGGACCTCCAGAAAGCATATCACCATCTATTTCTAACCCTTCCTTCAGGATGGAACTGGAGGAACCCCCACTTGTTCTGGCTGCTGCAAACGTGGTGAGGAACATCACCTATAAATATCGAGAGGACCTGTCCGCACATCTCATGGTAGCTGGCTGGGACCAACGCAAAGGGGGCCAGGTGAGTCTCTTGCAGTGTCCCCCCTTCCTCGGAGTTCCCCTCTCCCCCAGAGAGGGAGATGGAGGTCATAGGGCATTCCAGCCTCGAGTTCCAAAGACACTGCCCCTGAAAGCATAGGAAGGTCTCAAAGGAGAAGGGTATGAGGTGCTGGGGCTTCGCTGCAGGGCGTGGAGACCACCTGCCCGTCTCAGGGCTGAGCAGAGGATGCAGGCTCCCGGAGTCTGAGCGGAGGGTGCCTCCCCAGGTGTACGGGACCTTGAGCGGGATGCTGATTCGACAGCCCTTCGCCATTGGCGGCTCTGGCAGCACCTACATCTACGGTTACGTGGATGCAGCATATAAACCAGGCATGTCCCCAGAGGAGTGCAGACGCTTCACCACGAACGGTAATACACAGGCGGGAGGCATCTGGGGCAGGGGTTACACGTGGTAAGGACGTCGAGCGTAAGGACAAGAAAGACATGGATGCCCATCTGATGAAATGTCCAAATGGGACGACTTTGAGAGTGATGGGGCAAAGGCTGAACTGGATGGGCTTTCAGGACAAAGCTCAGATGGTCAAGAGTCCGCCTGCAATGCAGGAGACTTGGGTTCAATCCCTAGGTTGGAAAGGTCCCCTGGAGAAGGGAATGGCTACCCACTCCAGTATTCTTGCCTGGAGAATTCCATGGACAGAGAAGCCTGGCGGGCTACAGTCCATGGGGTTTCAAAGAGTCAGACATGACTGAGGAACTAATGGACTTCAGGACAAAAGGCATAACCCAAGACTGTTCTGTGCACACCAAAGGAAGATCTAGGGTGACCACAGGAAACCAGTTGGGCGCTTGGACCAGCCCATAAGAGCCAATTGTTACATATTCAAGGATTTGGGAGCGCTTGCCTATCTACTTGTTACAGAATCAATCATGGTGGGAGTGTTGAGACCATGAACGTTGCATGAAGACCTTTGTATTTTTTTAAGTTGGTTGACCACCCCTAAATACGCATCTCTAGGAGATGTGTTCTAAAGTCTGCCTGTAGTAGTAGGCATATGGACAGAAGGGAAGGGAAACCATTTTTTAAAAATAGTTATTTATCTGGCTGCACGGGGCCTTAGTTGCAGCATGCGGGATCTAGTTGCTTTACCAGGACTGGATCCCAGGCCCCCTGCAGTGGACGCGCAGGGTCTTAGCCCCAGACCACCAGGGAGGTCCCACGGGACACGACTTCTGCAGCTAAGCCACTCTCACTTCCTTTCTCCACCCGGCACCCTCCGCAGCGATCGCCCTGGCCATGAACCGAGACGGCTCCAGCGGGGGCGTCATCTACCTGGTCACCATCACAGGCGCTGGGGTGGACCATTGCGTCATTCTGGGCGACGAGCTGCCGAAATTCCATGACGAGTGAATCTCCTTCCTCGGACTCTCCTTTATTTTGTAATAAACTTTCTGGAACCAGAAGCTGGTATGAACCGTGTGTACTCAGAGAGGTGAAGCTTGGGAAGGGGGCTGCTGCCCACCCAAATGCTAGCATATCTTTTGTATTCTAAAAGAATACAAAACACCTCCTCTAAAACATCTTTCCCAGAGGAGGGGTGGAGGAGCAGATGAGAGTCGGGTGCATGTGACAGATCTCAGGTAGCCAAGACAGCTACACGCCTGAGAATTAGCTAGGAGCCAGCTCACATGGAAAAGGATTCCTCTCATAACGTGTTCATTCATATTAGAGGCCAAAACATGATAAATACTTAAATATTTGGGGAGGGGGGACTTGTGAATTTCAAAGAATAGTAACAATAACCCAAAAAGCGAAATGTATTGAACTGAGCATTGGCTACATGCCTGTAAATGTTTTATCTCTTAGAACCCAAACCAAAAAACCTTGGGTATGAACTACAACTATTGACAATTCAATGTAAGAATAGATGGAAGGTCAGTAAGAGTAAGTCATGGCAATTCAAAAGTGGAGATGTGGGATTTTGTTTACCAAATGCCCTTCCTCTACTACTGACATGAAACCTGTTCCCTCAAGACTCATATACCATCTCCTCCCTGAAATCTGTAATAATTAGCCCAACCCAACATTTAACACTTAAGACTTTGTTTGATGTTTGAATAACTGTATTCAACAGGCTGGGCTCTGGACCTATCTTTGCCAGGCATTTCCTGAGTGACAGGACAAACTACTCCCCTTCTCGGAGCCCTTGTTTTCTCATCTGTCAGATGGGGTGTTGAGTGACTTCTGAGATGCTTTATAGCTTTACGGTCAATGCCATTTCACACACAAATGAGCAGTTAAGAGGTATATTTAACAGAATCCTAGTGGGCCACCTAGGAAACTTCTGCCTGCTTTTCTTTCCAGATCTCAGGCGAAACATACAAAGCACCCTAAGACATCCCTATGTTCTTGGTAGTGTGTATTTGGTTTTGAGAAAATGAATCTAAGATTACTATCGCCTTGAGTTCTTTCTAGCCATGAGATTTAACTTATTTTGAAATTCAGTGTAATAGTTGGAGTATATTTTTTCTGCTGATCACAACTCAGAACACTGGAGCGTAGACAAAAGCAAGCACTAAACCACTCTGAAAAATAAACAAACAACAGGTGGACTGTGGAGAGACTCAAAACTGGGGGAGGCAGCGTTCTGGGGGGAGGAGGGCTCAGAGTCTTGCCTCTTTCGTCTCACGGCTCTGCCCTGAAGTCTGGCATCAACTGCAGGCTGCACCACTGAGCAGCATCTCCGAGAAAAACACTGTGGTTCTGGCCAGAGGAAGTGAGAGAGCAGGCCCCTGTGGGCCAGAGGGCGCAGGGGAATCTCCCGGACGAGAGAGCTGGAGACGGGGATGCCCTGCCTCTAGGGATGAATCCTTGTGACGACCTGAACTGCACATGCGTGCCACACAACCAGACCACACAACAGAGGCCTTGAGAACGTAATGGGGATACAAACCTTTAAAAACTGGAAGGCCGGCTGCTTCTTTATTGGCAAAAAAAACTGCATTGCTGTGCCCCTCATTCCACAAAGGGCTTGTAGCACTTCCAATGTGAAAAGGAGGAGGAGGTAAAGAAGAAATTGATTAGAGAAAAGACAAAGTTAAGAAATAAATGAAGCCAAGAGGTAAAACTAAAATACAACATGAATATCTCTCTTTAAAAAAGAGAAGCGATGCACTGGAGCTGTCTTGAACAGCTTAACAAGAGCAGATTGTAAAACACTCAGGAGTTTTGAAAGGCAGTTGTTAACCACTGGTAGTTTGACATTGACCATGGCAGAAATATTTATACTACTGAAACCAGAAATGCTACATATCAGAACTTTGGGGTTTGTGTTTTTTTCCCCAGAAAGCCAGTTTACCAGGCCATGTATTGACCAGCCAGCTATCCATGAGCTTAGTTGGTTCTAAGCTACAGGGTAGTGAAAGCAAAGAAGGAAATGAAATCAGGTACAGGGTTCAAAAGATTCATTTAAAAAGCAGGAACCTCCCTGGCAGTTCAGGGGTTAACACTCTGCACTGTCAAGGGCCCATGTGCCGCCTGGTGTGGCCAAAAGATTAAATAAATAAAATGAATATAAGGAGGACAGCTTTTTAAAAAAACTATAGGGATTTTCTTGGTGGTCCAGTGGTGGAAGATGGTCTAAGAATCCATCTTCCAATGCAGGGGATGCAGGTTCAATTCCTGGTCAGGGAACTAAGCCCGCATGCCACATTGAAGACCCAGTGCAGGCAAAAAAAATTTTCTTAATTTTTTTAACTAAAAAAATTAATAAAATTTCTAAGAGTATTTTAAAAGTAATAATAAAGGAATAAGGAAAATCATACAAAAGCAACTATATATATAATTTTTCAAGTCACATAGAACATTTACTGAATTAGAATATGCATGATGCCATAAACTCCAATAAACTCCAAAGTATTAATATCTTTGTGTATGTGTGGCCACACTCTGTTAAATTAGAACTTGATAATAAAAGGACACCTAAAATTCTCATGGTTTGCAAACTAAGAAAATTTTGATAAACAGCAGATTTAAAAGATAGTCATAAAAGAAACTCATTCAGAAGCATATGGTAAAACTGTTAGCTATTGAATTCTGTGAGATACAATTAAAGGAGTACTTGGAATTTTATAACTTCAAATACATTTATTAGAACAAAAAATGTTTAAAATAAGTGACATAAAAATTCTCCTAAAACTTTGAAAAAATAACAATTAAGCAAACCTAAAGAAATAAGAAGGAAGGAAATTAATTTTCTCTAGTGGTATCATACCCACTGCATGTGTTGTGTGTTAGTCGCTCAGTCGTGTCTGACTCTTTGCAACCCCATGGACTGTAGCCCACCCCAGGCAAGAATACTGGAGTGGGTTTCCAGTTCCTTCTCCAGGGATTTTCCAGACCCAGGGATCGAACCTGCATCTCCTGAATTGCAGGCATTAGTTACCTGTTGCTGTGTAACAAATGAGACTGAAATTGAGCAGCTTAAGGTAAATCATTTACAAGTGGGCATTACTAGGATCACAGGGGAAATTTAAATATGGACTGAGTATTAGATAATGTTATATCCAAAGTAAGTATCTTGGAGGTGATGATGTTATTCTGTTTTTGTAGGAGAAATGTCCTTATTCTTAAAATACACATGCCAAACTATTTCAGGGTAAAATGTCATGATGTCCACAGATTTTCTCAAATGGCCTAAAAAAAATAGTTCCTCAACAGTAAACAGATAAAGAAAATGTAGCTTATTAATACAACAGAATGCTACATAAGCAATGCATATTAGTGAACTACTGATAATGCAACAAGATAAATAAATTTCATAGAAATAATATTGAGTAAAAAAGCCACACATACACAAAGCTACACAATACAGTATGTTTTGAAACAACAAGGTCCTACTGTATAGCACAGGGAACTATATTAAATATCTTAAAATAAACCATAATGGAAAAGAATATGAAAAAAATGTGTATAGCTGAGTCATTTTGCTGTGCAGTAGAAATTAACACAACATTGCAAATCAAGTATTCTTCAATAAAATTAGAGAAAGAAAAAGAAAAACAGTATATCTATGCTGTGGAACAAACCACCCCTAAACTTTGAGGCTTAAAACAAAGATAATCATTTTATGATTTATTGTGAGTCTGGAGGTTAACTGAACTTGAAGAACTAGTGATGTAGCTCATGAACCAAAGCATTTATCACAGCGGCCCCTCCACATAGCCCCTCACAATTCATGTAAGGACGCTGGTTATATGTCCCATCAGACTTGAACACCTTAAAAATACCGTAAAATTTTCCCTGACTTTCTGGTTCCTGCCTTTCCACAGGACAGTTCATAAAGCCCACTTCTGCTGGCCCTCTTGGAAGTCAGGGCACCAACAGAGGATCTAAGTCCTACTTTTAAAAAAAAATCAAATTTGGGTTTCCCTGGTCACTCAGTGGTGAAGAATCCACCTTCCAGTGCAGGAGACACAGTTCGATCCCTGGTCCAGGAAGATCCCACATGTCTCGGAGCAACTAAGCCCATGAGCCCCAGCTACTGAGTCTGTGCTTTAGAACCCGGGAGCCCCAGCTACTGAGGCCACGTGCTGCAGCTGCTGAAGCCTGCGTGCCCTAGAGCCCGGGCTCCGCCACAAGAGAAGCCCCCACGTGAAAAGCCCCCACACTGCAATGAGGAGTAGCCCCCGCTCGCCATAACAAACACCCAGCACTGCCAAAAATAAATAAATAAAAATTTTTTTAATAAATCAAATTCATGCACCTGAGACTTCAGTCCACAGTTAAGCAACAGGAAGAAATGGGAATCTCCCCTCTATTCATTTCACTTGCAAAGGTCACAAGAAAAGCAACTGGCTTTGGAGAAGCAGCATAAAAAAAGGTGAAGTTCCTGACACAGAAGTGGCTTCACAGTGGTTTCAGTGGTGGTTGCCATAAAGTCTCATGCCTGACGACATAGCAAACAGCAGCACCTAGAAGCAGAAGTAAAGTGGTTTATCAGACCTGCTCTGGCTGGCGATTGCAGGGGGTGCTTTATCTGCTTATAATGAGCCTCCCATATGTTGCAGAAAGGTATTTGTTAGACTTTTTAAAGTGTTACCAAACATTAATTGGAATCAGGAAGGATACAAGAGGCTACATTCAAAGAGTATTTGCAAACCAAAGATGTACATAATCTGGGGAAATGGCTGTTAAGAGATTCAAAATGGTTAATGTACTACAAGCAATAAAATCATAACCATGGACTTATCTTCCTCACCAGAGAAAAGGCAAAGTCATCAGACCTTATCAGCTTTCTACAGATCAACCTCTCATGGTACAGGGCCAGCTGGGTTTTTCAGTCAAGTTACAATCCTTGAAAACACTCAGATTTTGGTCAGGCAGGATTATGAGAAAATGTTCACATACAA